GTAATTGAATCTACTTCAGTCTTCGAAAAACTCCCTAGCACGGCGAAAGCCACCGAAACTTCGGTCGATCACTCTAAAAAAACGCGTTCTGGACGTCACGTTAGATTCCCAGAATACCTTCACACCTATTTCACATAACTGAGTGACACATCAATTTTTTTTATGTTGCATCATTTAACACAAGTAAATGATATTTTTCCTATAACCGTACATGAAATTAAATTAGATCTTTTTTTTCCCGACATTTTGCACTTCACATTATTTTACTGTATAGTAGATGCATGTCATTTTTTTGGTAAAAAAAACGCTTATTTGGTACATTTTTTCTTGACAAGGTTCTCAGCATTCTTGTTTTCTTTTCCAGGTGCAACGGGCACTGGACAGGAAACAAACGACGCACGGGATCCAACGAACAACATTGAGGAAGCTATGTACAGACACCCCATTAGCATAGGCAGACAGACCAGCAGGCTCTCAATCAAGCCGCTCGGAAGATTTGTTTCACCCATAAGGGAACCATCGAGATTTTTTTACTTCCGGCTGGTCACGTCTTAGGGTCCTCACAACCCCACTAGGGGGGGGAGTGAGCTGTAGCGGTAAATAATTCCCCAAAATTATTAACCACAGCAATCATCACTCAACATTGGATGCTGACCATCACTGTTTAAGTCGACTTGTTTAGCTGAAGGCTTACGGTCAAGCATCCCCCGCCATTTGGTGCTTCGTCGTGTCACGTGCGTGCACGATTACTAGCTAGCTAAGCATTCATTCCTACCCGCGATTTGGTCCCAAAATATATATCGTATTTGGACGACAAAATCTGGTCTTTTGCTTTACCATTTGGTACTCGAAGAACGAACACTATAGTGGTTGTTGGTATAAGATCTTGCGTTAGTATAATCCGTACAACTCGCGAACGTCGATACCAGCGCCCCTAAAAAAGGATCAACTCCATTCACAGTAGTAACAGTCTTAACACACCTCATACCACAAACCACATATAATTAATCCCTGCACTACTCCTTTTGGAGTCAACCAAAGCTACGACAGTCGAGTGGCGGGACGAGCTACGCAGAAGTTTACCGAAGATCAGGAACCTCTACCTCACAACCAAGAGGCGAGCACAAAGAAATCAAATTGATTTATACTAGCTCGTAAAAACGATATTGGATATTGGAACTGCCATCATTCTTGAAGTCAACCGAAGCTACGGCAGTCAGGCGACGGGATCCACTACTCAGAAGTTTACGGAGAATCATAAACCTTTACTTTGCAACCAAGGAGTGAGCACAAAGAAACCAACGTGTTACACTAGGTCGTGTGAAGGATATTGGATCGACTGGATAATCTACATGGCTTAACTGACTTTGGTGGCTGAATAAACATTGCTCGAATAAGAGAGGCAGTGGGATCGTCTGTTAACACCAGTAAGTAAGCACCAGTAAACCAGTAAACAATTACTCTGAATCGGTTCCTTTTAAAACTTTGGACACTGGATATTGAAGTTCACTACAAATGTATTGGCGTTTTATTGGATACTTCAAGGCCAATATCGACATTCAATTTTTGCTTTAGAATTCGTTTGGAGATGTGAGTCCAGCAGTGATTTATTTCCAAGCTTAGTACGGTTTTATGATACATGTAATGGTGATAAAATTGAGCACAGAATCGAAGGATCAGTGATTCTTTGTCCCGTTGTTATAATTGGTTTGACTAATTGACGAGTCTTCTAGATTGTTGTATTTATTTATTATTTATTTAAACGCAGAAAAACTTGGTACAGTATGGCACCAAGAAAGATGCGCCACACAATAATAATAAAACAACATAGATTAACAGTGAAAATATAAGTAGAAAACGGATAAAGAACTTCATCTGGAAGGAAAACCGTCATGTTTCACAGGTTCAAACAGTATTCTTTAACTATCATCAGGAAGGGAGGAAAGAAGAAAATTGCAACACGTTCACCATTGATTACGATTCTTGGCCATATCCGATAACGTTTCGAGCCATCGATTCGAGCTATCTCGCGGACCCCAACCAGGGAGTCGTGACATACCAACCGATGCTAATCTAGCACAAATATCCTTCATCCCACGACGCCACGTCATGGACTGACCACCCTTCCGCCTTTTCCACCCCGTCCCAGGGCTAGCGAACAGAGACCTGTACGGAAGCCTCTGGGATGACATTCGCAGCACATGTCCAAGCCACCGGAGCCGGTGTTTCCAGATGACGACACTCAGTGAATGGTGTTGTATATACCACATTCGTCTGGAGCCATATGACTGCAGACGAATATTTCCGTCGATGAAAAGTAGACAGTTCATATTTCGAAAGTGGGGAAAAAGAGAGCTATTTTGGAAATGATAGTGTGAAGATTTTAAGCTCACAATAATGCTGAATTAAGTCTCCCTAATTCTGCAGTTACTCTAACATTCTATTATGAGTAAATTCTGAATCTGTTCTGAAATGGTTTTTTTAAGCAAACAGACTAAAACTCAGTGCTGGTTCTCAGCATGTCGCACTAATTCAGCACCCTGTTCATTTTCTAATCATTTTCAGTAGTAGATCAGAACCTACTGTCGTTCTGGCTCTCTCAGCCCATATTCAGCATTATTTCATATGCCAATCTTATTTTTAAGATTTTTTCGGATTAATTAAGCATTCAGCACTTTTTTAAGCAAAACCTACGTTATTTCAGTACATATTGGGTAGGTGAAATGTCCATTTACCATAAAAAAGGAATTATCGACGCATAGGTTAGAATAAGTTTAGAATTGTTGTAAGCTTGGGACATTTTATACATATGACAATATGGTGATTACGGTTAATAAGTAGCGATGCTGATGTTTGCCTCAGGACATGCTTAGGATTACCAAAGTTTATGCTGGCTAGAGGTCATAAGTTAGTGAGTAATTTTGAGTCCAGCTCGGCGCTTTAGAGAAAATTCTGGTATTCTGTTACTTTTCCCCAAGTTTTGTACTAAGGTGCTCCCGAAATATGTCAAAATGTTCCGTTGGTAGCGGTCCCTAATCGTAAATGTGAACAACGCTCCTAGAGAAGAGCTTAATTTTAAGACATGAACTTAATACTTTTATACGAACTGCGAAAGTTTTTCTAAGCATCCTATTCCCACCCCTACAGCATTTATCACCCAATTCTAAATTTATGGTCTCCATATTAGGGTGATCAAAAAGATAAAGGCTGGTCAGAATGTAACACTAATTTCTTTGGCTCATAAGCCTTGTTTTTCATGCAAACTCATCTTAAGGTGCTATGCATGTTGGTTAACATTCAGCTTCCCAGTAGGTCTTACGTGCTATATGCTTTTTTACATGTTATTCTGCTTAAGCACAAACCCAACTGGAAATGGACAATTAAGTTGCGCACATAAAATAAATGAGGCGGATTCATAGCACAGGAGGTACAGTTTTTAGAAAGCCTAAAATAAACCTCCTTAAAGGACTGTATAACCAAAACTGCTCTACGTGCATAGAAATGGTAGTATGCTCAAACCTCCCTTGTTAACATACTCTCTCCTTCCATATCAGTATCTTCCTTTCAATTATTTGTTTACTTCATTACTATGTACAATTAATAACCGTTGTGATTGAAATGGTTTATGTATTCAAAGGTAAAAATAATTGACTAAGAATATAAAGTGGAGTCGTTTTAGTATAAAGAACCTAAGTTCCGTGAGTTTAAGGCAATAACATACCCTGTCGAGTAGATCTCCATCGTCACCCAAATGTATCCGCTTAGCATTCTCTTGATTTATTCTTTTAACTGATTCACTTTTATGCTAATTTTTTTCTAGAATTTTCGTAAGTAGCTTCTGCTTTCTCAGATATTAAAAGTGTCGTCCTATCTGTTGACCTTTCTCAGGTGTATTTCACAGGCTTTCTAGATTTTCTCCTGATTAACCATTATCTTGGATTCATATTTGCGTTCACCACTAGCCTTCGTTACTGAAAATTTTTTCTATTATTTTTTTTATCTTACAGATTTCGCATTTTGTTTGGCAAATTTCTGTGTGCAATCTCTGTGTAGACGTTGACGTATATTAGCACATAAGTAAACGTAATACACTTAAAATGGTATGTTAATACCTTTCTTTCGCTTTTATTAGCTTTAGGTCGATTTAAGTGATAAAGATCTTAACGGTAAGTTTTTGTTTAAAAGAAATAATTTGAAACTTGTGAGTAGATGTCCATGAAACATTCCTGCTTTTTGATAGTAAAGGTGATGAAAAAATTGATGCTAAAGATGTTGGTGAGGTTGTACGTGCATTGGGGTTAAATCCAACCGAATCAGACATTGGAAAGTACGGTCATCAAAGTAATCCAAGTATGTTTATCTCTTGATGCAAAAATGCTTTGTATTGTGTATTTTCTGTTGAGTAAATCTCTAAGGGAAACTTTATGCTACCAATGTTAAATAAAGATCAAACACATTTATCCCGTTTCACCCACCATTATTCAAATGACTGAGTAATATCGTTACACTAATGGTTTTAGTATGGCTCTTCACCTCTTCCGTTTATTGGTAGATGGTGACTAGCAGTGGAATTCAGGATGCGCATTTCGTCCCATTCGAGACTCGTCAATGGATAACGCTTTGGCGTTTGAAATTATAGGCACTGATTTCGAGCCTCACTGGGAACAACATCACACTGGGGATGCAGGTACATCCAGACGATGAGTCCCAAACAGGACAAAATGCGCATCCTGGATTCCACTGCTAGTCACCATCCACCAACTAACTTGAAGTTACGTAACCAGACATCGTCGAAGCATCTTCACAAGCAGCCGACATGTCAACCTGAGACCGAGCACTTTGGTCCAATCAATCGACGGGAAAATCTAGACTGAATTAAATATTAAATGTTTGTTTGCTCTGTCGACCAGATACACCCTAAAATACTACAGATATTTGACATTTGTAAATCGTATTCGGATTAACAATTTGTGTCTGTAAAATTTTACTGAGTTTATTATTATGGCGTGTGTTTACCTATCGTGATTAGTGTTGTGGATTATGTTTTCGAATTCTAGGAGTAGCTTTATTGCATATCCCTGCTAATTGTAACCTCTTAGTCCGTTGCTATGAAAAGTTACACTTTGGTATGCTGTTTATATGGATTTTTCAATAAATTTTTTTTTCTGGCGTATATATTATCTGTAGCAGTATATTCTTGGACTGCATTACGTTTGCTTCACCCACCACTATTCAAATAACTGAGTAAATATCGTTACACTAATGGTTTTAGTATGTCTCTTCACCTCTTCCGTTATTCCATACATGGCCATTAACAACCAAAATTCTATCGCACCTGTGTTTTTAATGGCTATCTAATTTCAGTAGTTGATATTAGAATTCATGTAATTTAAGTCGTTTAACCACTTCACTTCAAAGCTGTACAGTTACTTAGAGGGTCTATTTACGTACAGTGTTAATTGGCGACAGAGATCATAGGTTATTGTAAGTCAATCACAAAAGAAATCAGTGTTTGAGAAATAACACTGTGCCAAAGATAATGGATAATCTTACGTAATCGAGAGGGTTCACAACTAATTAGTTCAGTGATAAATAATCACCTGGAAATAATTGATAGGATACTGGAGAACAAAGGATTACAAATGAGTTACAAAAAATTAATAAAAATAAGAAGGACTACACAGTGTTAATCATACAACAACTCAGGAGAACAACATTGATACTAGAGCCAGGGTAGTAAAAGAAGCTGGGTAAAACATTTGTGAACACAAAATTCAGGGTTTTTTATGGATTGCTAAAGTTTCATCCACATGAAGATGATGTAGACGAAATTCTTTCGAAATGTTCGGTCGTACTTTATATATGACTTTGAATGAAGTCTACTGATGCTGTGACTAGAAGTTATAATGTGCTACAGAATTGAACTGTTGACTGTTCTGCGTCACCGTTTCGATAACCATGCTGGTAAACGTTCACGGGCACATCTAGACACCTTGTTATTTCTCATACACTGATTTATTTTGTCACCAACTGATAGAAACCTCTCACTTCTATTGTCAATTGAGATTATATGTATATTGACCTCCTAAATAACTGTACAGTAACGAAAAGAGATCTCTTTCCTGAGTAGTGTGTTCTTAACCAAGTATCTAGGAAATTTATTTCAATCTGCTTGAAACAGTTAGTAAACTTAGTAGCTTTCCGTACCATTTGAAAGTTCGTTGTTGCAAGCAAAACTGTTACTGGCTTACTAAAGTGTATTGCAGTAAATGACACGATTTCGCAACATTATCTGGTGGCTACCGACCATAGTGAGATTTTGATTGGACACTAGTAACTAGTGTGACGTGTCTAGTCCTTTCTTTGGAGCAGACTGAATTCTATCAGTCAGGTTTGCAATGTGGCCACCATTCAAGGTAACTCGCCATCACGGCGCACATTGATTTGATGATATTAGATAGTTGGAGGCAATCGGCCACAGGAAGCCTTGGACCTAGGTCAGTGGTAACGTCTCTGACTGCAGCACTGGGTGACGCGGGTTCGAATCTTAAAAGGGACATGAGTTCCTTCAAGGTTGCAGATACGCCTTGCTGATGAGTGCCAACTAGCACGAAACATAGGTCGAAGGCTTCCTGCTGATTGCCTCCAACTATCTAATATCGTCATAGTGAGATTTGTTGATCTTAGAAATTTACAAGTAATCACAAAAGGATGACTTCAAGTCGTAGAATTTCCACAATGAATTACCAGTTGGTAAGAATCTTAGTGTTAGTCAGATGTTTTGTCAAAAGTTGATCTATGACTGACTTAGCTTCATTGGCTTCCACTGACACTCACTTTTATCTTACGCTAACCGAGAATATGTTGCGAATGAACTCATAAAGGTAATTTTCATGGTAAGTCGCAGCAACTTACCGATTAAATACGTAATGAGATTAAATAGTAAATAAACTTTATTTCTGAGAGGATGTTGGGCTCTGTTCGTAACACAAAAGTATTCGTCTTGTATTGAAACCCTTGTTTCATGTAGTAGCATCAAAATTATCACGGGAACTATCTTGATAATGTCGTTTTGTGTGATGTGATTAATATCTACTTGCTTCTACTTTCTCAGTTTCATTTCTGACAATCAGATGCATGTTAGGATGTAACATCTTACAAAAAACCATTTGCATTCTGAAATTTAATTTACAATTTTTTTCCCATCAATCAGATATTTTCGCATAGATAACGTTGCCATCATGCAATCTGCTTCATTTACCCTTTATCGTTTTTTTGTAGATGAACGTATCAGTTTTGAATCCTTCGTCCCTATTTATCATGGCCTATTAAAAGAACAGGTGGAAGTTGATCAAGAAGCGTTTATTGAGTCATTTCGTGTCTTTGATAAAGAAGATAATGGATTTATTAGTGCAGCTGAACTTAGACATTTGCTTACAGCTCTTGGTGAAAAACTTCGTGATGATGAAGTAGATATTTTATTAGCTGGCTTGGAAAACAGTCAAGGTCTTGTACCATATCAAGGTAAGTCATTGTGTGTATATTTGTGTGTACGCTTCTGGGTACCGAGTTCGAGTCCCGCTCCACCTACCTCAGCCTGGGCAACATGGTAGTATCCCCAGCCCTCACACAATGAGTGTGTGGCTCATAGTCCGGTACATAAACTGTTTTAAAAAAGCACTCCAGCACTGCACTTGGTTTATGTTTTAAATGTGAGTTTAATATGGTCAGCGACTGTGTTGTGACTTAGTCGGTTACGAGGTTGGCAGTCTGATTCTGGCTGATTCAAATACTCTGACAGCCTGGGCTTTCGTTTCAATGTTAGTTATCACGATATTACATTAGTGTATCAGTCTACCAAACTAAACGTATCTGAGATATAGCGAAAGTATTCATTCAGACATCTATAAAACACAAAATAACTGAGCAAAGAATATCCAGTGGGTCCTTTATTCTCTCCAGGATGATGCGAGTCAGGATTTTACTTGGCGTCGACAGGAGCATGATTCCTCGCCAGTTCTTGCAGAGTCCTAAGTCGCCCTTCTTTGGTAGTTTCACGAGGTAACCTTTCCTCCAGTCATTAGACACCTTTCCCTCCTTCCAGACCTTTTGCAATAATGGAGTCAGCATATCTGCTGTCGTCTCTGGGTCCGCTTTCAGTGCTTCCGGGGGTATTCCATTTGGTCTAGCTGCTTTTCCAGCTTTCAGAAGCTTGAT